GGCCGCTGCGGAAGGGCGGCGGGGCCGCTGAGTAGGGCGACGGGGCCGCTGAGCAGGGCGGCGGGGCCGCTGAGGAGAAGGGCGGCGGAGCCGCTGAGTAGGGCGGCGGGGCCGCTGAGGAGAAGGGCGGCGGGGCCGATGAGTAGGGCGGCGGGGCCGCTGAGGAGAAGGGCGGCGGGGCCGCTGAGTAGGGCGGCGGGGCCGCTGAGGAGAAGGGCGGCGGGGCCGCTGAGTAGGGCGGCTGGGCCGCTGAGGAGAAGGGCGGCGGGGCCGCTGAGTAGGGCGGCGAGGCCGCTGAGGAGAAGGGCGGCGGGGCCGCTGAGTAGGGCGGCGGGGCCGCTGAGCAGGGCGGCGGGGCCGCTGAGGAGAAGGGCAGCGGGGCCGCTGAGTAGGGCAGCGGGGCCGCTGAGGAGAAGGGCGGCGGGGCCGCTGAGGAGAAGGGCGGCGGGGCCGCTGAGTAAGGGCGGGGCCGCAGCGACGGGCGGCGAGGCCGCTGAGACGGGCGGGGGGGCCGCGATGCGGGGCGACGGGGCCGCTGTGACGGGCGGCGGGGCCGCACTAAAGGGCGGCGGGGCCGAAACGAAGGGCGGCGGGGCCGCTAGGGGAAGGGGCCGCTAGGGCGTAGGGGGCCGCTAGGGCGGCTCGGCGAGGTGAGAGCCCGGAGCGCGACTCGGGCGGAGCGCGCTACGGGCAGGAGAATTTTTTTTTTTTGAAACTCGATGTGGTGGGCCCTAGGCACAGTTCCCAAGGGGGAACCTGCTCGATACCATGAGGAAAGTAGAACGAGAATGGATTGACTAAGGAATGGAAGTGATACAAATATGCAACCCTAGAAATGTGTACCCCATATAGGCTACCCCACTATAGCCTACACAATATTATAATTTGACACGAGTTCCTAAAGCCGGAGTTGGAGTATTTAGGGCACGTGGTTTCCCGCGACGGCATCAAAATTGACCCTCGTAAGGTGGACGCCATTGTTAAATGGAAGCTGCCGACTAATATCCCTAAATTGCATAGTTTTTTGGGATTTGTTAACTACGTTCGCCGTTTTGTACCTAATATGGCAGGGATAACTAAGCTGCTGACCGACCTGCTGCACAAGGACACTCATTTTCGGTGGGGGGAGAGAGAGTAGTCCGCCTTCGACGCACTCAAAAACATTTTGAGTTCACCCCCGGTACTCCGCCTCGCCGACCCATCTCGACTGTTCGAGGTCATCACGGACGCCAGCGATTTCGCCGTCAGCGCCGTCCTGCTACAGGACTTCGGCAAAGGGCTGCAACCCATCGCCTACGAATCACGCAAGATGCATCCACCCGAGCGCAACTACCCGGTCCACGACAAAGAAATGCTAGCCGCTGTCCACGCTTTTCATGTCTGGCGCTGCTACCTCACGGGAGCCGACGTGACAATCCGAACCGGCCACAAATCGCTACAGTACATGCCCACGCAACCAACACTCAACTCCCGACAAATCCGGTGTTTGGACTACCTCGAGGCCAATTTTCGGTACACCATCACGTACAAGAAAGGCGCCAACAACATTGTTGACGCCCTCACCCAACCATCCATGCAGATGTCAGAATGTTATATTTGTTTAGCCTGCAGTGGGGTACTCTATAGCGAGTACAACCCAGATTAGGGTTTCCTATATGTACTCAACTGCCTGCAAGTGCAAACCCTCTTTTTCTGTTCTAAACTTCTCTTGTTATTCTAACATGCTATCAGAGTAGGTCGACCCTCCCTCGTCGATCCTGTGGGTGGGCCCACCACCTGCTTCCGCTGCTGTCCTGTCTGTCGCGCGCCCCTGTCACGCGACGTTTATTCTTCCCGCTACGCGCTCGGGGCGCATGGCGGTTTTCTGCCTGCCGCGCGCTCGTAGCGCACGGCGGTTTTCTGCCCGCTGTGCGCCCCGAGGCACGCGGCGGTTTCCTACCCCGTCGACCCGCGCACCGCCCCCCCTCCCGTCGCCTCATCGCGGCGCCCTGGGGGCCTGCGCGTTGTCCCCTCCCGTCGCCTCGTCGCGGCGCCTTGGGGGCCCGCGCGCCGCCCCCCCTCCCGTCGCCTCGTCGCGGCACCTTGGGGGCCCGCGCGTCACCCCCTCCCGTCGCCTCGTCGCGGCGCCTTGGGGGCCCGCGCGCCGCCCCCTCCTGTCGCCTCGTCGCGGCGCCTTGGGGTCCCACGCGTCCCCCTCTCCCGTCGCCTCGTCGCAGCGCCCTGGGGACCCGCGCGTCGCCCCTTCCCGTCGCCCGTCGAGGCGCCCTCGGGGGCCTGCGCGCGGCCCCTCTCCCGTCGCCCGTCGTGGCGCCCTTGGGGGCCCGCGCGCTGCCCCTTCTGCAGCTCGCGAACCGCCCCTGCAGCCCGCAAACCGCCCCTGCAGCCCACGCGAGCCTCCCCTGCAGCCCGCGAGCCGCCCCTGCCGCCTCCTGCCCTTGTGCAACTGCGGGGTGGCGGGTGTGTGCGTCGCCACTTGCACCTCCTGCTCCTTCGTCTCCCACTGCTTCAGCTGCCGCTGAGGGGGGTGGATGTGTGGGAGGCGAGGGAGTGGTGCTAGGGGGGTGACATGGGAGTGGAGCTAGGGGTGCAGCAGGGGGTGTGTGAAAGGGGGTCTGCGACAGTGGGGGATAGTGTGCGGAGGTATCCGTCGTGTCGCCAGCAGGGCCAGTAGTCCGGAGGCTACGATCTCCGGTAGCCCAGCGAGCCTGCTGCGCCAGTCGCCCGTGGGTCCGTTGCTCCTGCCGCTCGTCTTAGCCGCGGAGCCAGTTACTCCTGTAGTCCGGAGGCTACAATCTCCGGTAGCCACCGTGTGCGCGCTCCTGTTGCCCGTGTGTCTGCAATCCGTCGCCTCCAATCTCCTCTCCTCTCACAGTCCAACCTCCTCCTCCTCACTTGCCCTTTGTGAATGCCTCTAGCTGTACTATGCCCTTGTGCCTGTGAACTATTGCTATGCCTGCTTGTTGTGCTGATTACACCCCACTTTGACTATGGGGGTGTGTCAGAATGTTATATTTGTCTAGCCTACAGTGGGGTACTCTATAGCGAGTATGACTAAACAATCGCCTTTCTACCTGAATTACGGGATAGACTCCGTGGTACCCTCATCGACGACCCTGGACAACCCGGTACCACAATCGCAGAAGTTTGTCACGGAACTACAGACAGCCCGCAAAAAGACAGCTAACTTTATTCGTAAAGCTAATGCCACGGCCAGCCGCCAGGCGGACAAGCATCGCCGGGATTTACCCTTTCGAACAGGGCAAGTCGTCCTTCTGGACACCAAAAACCTACGACTGCCGCAGCCGGCGAAATTACGGCCCCGATACGTAGGACCATTTCGAATCGTCCAGATGGTGACACCTGTCACTGCGAAGCTGTTGCTGCCCGACGACTGGAAGATACATGACGCGTTCCACGTCAGCCTGCTGCGCCACTACGAACAGCCGCAGTCGCCAGGTGTTGCTCGGCCAACCATCGCGCCGACCACACGCCCCGTGGCTGAACCCACGCTCGAGCCTTGGAAGATTCTGAACAATCGCGTGGACAGGCCCTCAGATTGGTTTGAGGGTATGCTGATGGATCAGCGTGCCCCGGTCGCCCAGGTGTCCAAATCAGCGTTCATGGTTTTCTTTATACTGATTTTGTCAGTGAAAAAGTTATAAGTAAACTGAACCATCAGTGTACAAAAGAAATACAAAGTTGAATTTCCCGTTCAAAATTTGTCGCTGTGAGAGCTCCTTCCAGCGATGCAGAACACGTCGGCACGCGATCTGTACAGCGCATGCATCGTTAAGTGTGTGAGTGAGGTCTCGCGAATCCCGGGCTAGGTACAGCCTAGTGGGGTCTCGTGAATCCCGGGCCAGGTACAGACTGTACACACGCGTACCACCCCGAATCGGTCTAGTCCGTTTCAGTGTGACTCACGACACTACACTGATTCGTCAGTGTTACTTGTACAGCAACACGGAAAATGGTCAGTGTGGCAAGGTATGTTATACTGAAATTTCAGTGCAAATTTGAAGCATATGCTGAATTTTCAGGGAAAACGAAAATCTGAGCTACAAAATCAGCGTAATCAGCGTGTTTTACGCTGATATCTGAGGGTCTGCGCGTGGACCTGACTGCCACTGGCCGCTCGGTCAAATTCTTGCTTCGCTGGACTGGAAAGACTGCACGAGCGAGGACGACATGTATGTCGCAGCTGACTCGCTACAGGGACATCCGGTTGTGGATGCTTACCTGGCCTGCCGAGGTGTCTAGAATATCCACCACTTTTCTTAAAGGGGGGGGGGGGGGGGGGGGGGGGGGGGGGGTGTAGTGTAAGGAATTTTCTCGGATTCCTTACTGGGTCACACTGTACGCGTACAACCCCGATTTTCGGAAAACCAGGCTCGGTCCGCCGACCTCGCCTTCCGAACCACTCTCGCGTCGCCTTCGGGTTTTCCAACCCCGATCCTGCACCCAACCATCTCGCGACCCCGCGACCTCGGCCTAGCTAGCATTGCTATATTAGTTCTAGGCCTCGTTGTTCCCTCAGACGTTGTAATCACTTCCGCGTTATTGAATAATGCGCACTCTTCTCTTTCACAACTCATAACAACCAGGGTCCAAGAAAGCCAGTGACCTCTCTAGCTGGACTCTGTTTTTGCTGATGATTGTTACGCAATTATCAATGATGTCATATATTCTTATGCAAGAAAGAATGAAAATGCTGATGATTAACATAGAGTCAGAAAACTAGTTGATGTTCTCCTGAATTTACAGTAGGCCTAACTTGTCCGAAGAAACAAAGATCCACTATCTGATGAGTCAAACGGGCAAAAAATCTTGGGATGCCGTAATCCACCATCGCACGATTGGACAATAGTTCGCTGCATATACAACAGTCCAAATTGAATGGACCGTAAAGAGATCCAACCAATCCTGTATTCACCCCCCACACTTCATATAAAACCCTATTGTTGGTCACACATTTTCGTGAACACATGTTGTCCACCATGCTAGGTCCGCCTCAATTCTCCTTGAACCGATTCGTCCTCTGAAGCTGCATCAGGTTGGATATGCCCTCCCGCACACCCCTCCACTACAGGACGCATCATGCCGCCCTCACCCTCCTCTTCCTCCTCCTCGTCCCACTCACTCCCCTCCTCCACCACCCTACACCCCCCTCTCAACCTCTCCATATAATCCCCGCCAACATACACCCCTCCTCCGTTCCTTGTCTCTCTGTAAAGCTCCCCACCACCTGCAAATCCACCACTAGCTACACCATCACTGCCTATATAATCCCCCGATGCAGCACCCCCGCCTTCATAGTACCTTTGCTGCCCTGCTTGCATAGGCTTCCCTCCTGCGCCGTGAAGAGGCATGTCGCGTGAATCCGCGTAACCACCCGGGTGGTAACCGTCCGCTTGCTCGCCACTCATCAGGCTTTCAAGATTATGCGACCTTGTGTGCAAGTATGCGTGTTATGGGGGGGGGGGGGGACGGAGTGAGGGGAGAGAGGGAAGGGGTGAGGGGAGTGAGGGGTGAATGAAGTGGAAAGGTTAAGGAGGAAGGGTTTGAAGTACACATCATCGTTGTCTGTGAACACCTTTCTTTCCATTGATTGATGAGACATTTGAACAGAAAACAGCAGTCGCCCTGCTCTCCACTTGTTGATCAGGCATTCTGGAAGCACTGAAGCAAGCACTGCAGCAGGCACACAGGGCCAGAACAGAGACTCACTCTCTCCGTTGCAGCCGGTGCTCCAGCCACTCGGCAATCATGGATCGCACGGCTATGTTGTCAGTGAGCGCCTTGCTGTCGAGGCGGCGGCCTGTCTTGGGCGAGGTGTGGTGCACGCTCAGCCACTGCTCTATGGCCTCCCTCTCGTACGTGTGCCCATCTGCTGCTAGTACAGGGTTCTCCATGATGCCCTGAATGGGAGAGAGAAGGGAGGAGGGGAGGGAGAAGGGAGGAGGGGAGGGAGAAGGGAGAAGAGGGGCCGATGGGAAGGAGGGTGATTCAGGCACACGCCCTTGCGAAGGGAAGGGGTTGAGGGGGGGATTGGGGGGAAGACATGGGCCGGCCAGTCTTGGGCAAGGTGTGGTGCACGCTCAGCCACTGCTCTATGGCCTCCGTCTCGTACGTGTGCCCGTCCGCTGCCAGCACTGGATTCTCCATGATGCCCTGATGGGACAGAAGAGAAGAGGAGGGATGGAAAGAGGCGTGGCGTGCGGTGAGACAGGCACACGTCTCTGGCGGCGTGGTGTGCGGTGTTGGGGGTTGAGAATGGGTATGCTGTCTTGGGCGAGGTGTGGTGCACGCTCAACCACTGCTCTATGGCCTCCCTCTTGTACGTGTGTCCATCAATCCGCTGCCAGCACTGGATTCTCCATGATGCCCTGATGGGGGAACCAGGGGGCGTGGGTGGAGAAGATGGGGACAGGAGAGAAAGAGGGGCCGATGGGAAGGAGGGCGAGACAGGCACACGAGGTGGGGGGTTGGGGGGGGAGAAGACATGGATGGGTGTGCTGTGCTGCCTTGGGCGAGGTGTGGTGTACGCGCAGCCACTGCTCTATGGCCTTTCTCTCATACGTGTGCCCGTCCGCTGCCAGCACAGGGTTTTCCTTGATGCTCTGATGGGACGAGAAAAAGGGGGGTGGGGGAGGGGGAGAGGATGGAGGACGGAAAGAGAGCGGAGGGTTTATGCTTGTATGTGTGGCCGTCCGCGGCCAGCACTGGGTTCTCCATTATGCCCTGCAGGGAGCGGAGTGAAGAGAGGAGGGGGGGGGGGGAGGAGGAGGAAAAGAGAGGGGGAAGTTGCACGTACCATGGTGATGCGGCAGATAACATTGCATTGAGGTGAGGCAAGCATCTGATCTTACCCTGGTGATGGTGCATGCATCATACCCTGGTGATGGTGCATGCATCATACCCTGGTGATGGTGCATGCATCATACCCTGGTGATCGGGAACCAATGCAGGTGCAAGCACATACCATGGTGATGGGGCATCGGAACTCGTTGGGAACGAAATCGCGGTAGTCATCCATGCGGTCCGCCCTCTCCAGCGCCACTGCAGCATCTACATAGGGGCGCAGCTCCTCCACCACCACCATCACCTGGAGGAGTTGAAAGGAGTGGAGAGGTACGGGGAGGGATGGGATGAGGTCAGGTCCGCCCTCTCCAGCGACACTGCTGCGTCCACGTACGGTCGTAGCTCATCCACCACCATCATCACCTGGGGGAGGGGGAAGGAGTGGATGAGTACATAGGGATTAAGAAATGAGGTCAGCACATGCCTGCCAGCACTGCCGCATCCACGTAGGGGCGCAGCTCGACCATCACCACCATCACTTGGAGGAAGGAGTGGGGGAGTGGAGAGATATTGTTGGGATAAAGTAATGAGATCAGCATGTGTCTGCTCGCACTGCCGCGTCGGCGCAGCTCCTCGATCACCACCATCACTTGGAGAAGGGGGACGTGGTGGGAAGTGGAGATGAATGGCAAGAGATCAGGTCAGCACGTGTCTATCAGCACTGCCGCATCCACGTAGGGGCGCTGCTCGCCCACCACCACCATCACCTGGGGGCAGAGAGAGGAATGTGGGGGAGTGGAGAGAGATGGGATGGATGATGAGATGAAGGGATGAGGTTAAGTCAGCCCATCCAACCCTCACACCACAACCACCACCACAAAAACACCACCACCCCCACCCACCCCCACCACCATCACCTCAAGGTGACTTTTGAATCAACCCAAAAGTCACCACCACCATAGCCCGCACCCCCACCCGGGCCACCCCCATCACCCCACCTGCTTGCTCAGGTCCGGCCGAGCCTTCCTCTTGTAATGCGCCATCTGCCGCACCAGCTGCACCAACCGCAGCGCGACACGTGGCGGCCAGCACCCAGCCGACAGATCCAACAACTCCCCCAACGCCTCCATATCCCCGCCCTCCTCACACTCCTCCAACGCCTCCAACTCTCTGTCCCTCTTCCCCCGTTCCCCCGACGTCTCATTGATGCCGATCAGCATGTCGAGCATGACCATGCCGAGGGAATACACGTCGGACTCGCGAGAGAACTGGCCGGTGCGGAGGAAGTGCGGGTCCACGTAGCCGAACGTGCCGACCGCCATGGACTGCTGCATGAAGGAGCGGCCGTTGTCCATCCCCACTAGAAAACGAGCGAGGCCCACGTCGCCTAGCTTGGCCACGAAATTGTTGTCTAGGAGCACGTTAGCGGGTTTGAGATCCAGATGCACTATGGCAGGGACGCTGGAGAGAGGGGGGCGGGAGAGGGAGGTGGGGGGATCGGAGAGAAGGGGGATATGGGGACAGGAGGAGGGGAGGAGGGATGGCATGGGGAGAACGAGGGGGGCATGAGGGCCTTAGCAATCGAGGGTGCCGACAGCCATGGACTGCTGCATGAAGGAGCGGCCGTTGTCCATGCCCACGAGGCACTGAATACAGCCAAAAGAAAAGAAAAGAAAAGAAAAGCATGGAAAAGAAAAGAAAAGAAAGGAAAAGTTAACAAACACTCAGCAGCCAGCATCACCTAACAATGACCCAAGCAGCATCTATCCCAAGTGGAACGGCTTTCAGGAGTCACCGGTTGTATAGGTGGAAGAGCGCCTTGCACAGATTCTCAAAGATCCCAAACCACACGTTCCAGGGCAGGGGCGGGGAGAGGGGAGAGCAGCAGCCCCTACCCTAGAACAGCACAGCACAGCAGCAAGAACACCTACCAGCAAGAACACTAAACAGCAAAGATGCCCTACCAAGGCAGCATATAAAGGCGCTGGAAACTCACCGGTTGTGCAGGTGAATGAGCACCTTGCACATGTTCTCAAAGATCTCAAAGCGCACGTTCCAGGGCAGGGGCGGTGCGAGGGGGGAGCAGCCCCTAGCACAGCAGTAGCAAGAAGCACTAGGCAGCAAGGTCCCCTAACGAAGCACATAAAGGAGCTGAAAACTCAAACTCACCGGTTGTGCAGGTGAATGAGCGCCTTGCACATGTTCTCAAAGATCTCAAAGCGCACGTTCCAGGGCAGGGGCGGGGAGCCGCGGTCGCACAGTAGCCTGTCATAGAGCGAGCCCTGAGGCATGTACTCGTACACGAGGCACGGCGGGTTGTGGCAGCACCCGATCAGCAGCACTATGGTGGGGTGCCTCAGCCCCCTCTGCACCTCCACCTGGGGGGGATGAGGATGGGGAGGTAGGGGGTGGGGGATGGGGTGGAGGGGTTGAACTTGAGCCAGCAAGCACGTGCCAGTCAGTCGGTAACCGCGTGGGTCACAGAGGAGGCGGTCGTAGAGCGAGCCCTGCGGCATGTACTCGTAGACAAGGCACGGCGGGTTGTGGCAGCACCCGATCAGCAGCACTACGGTGGGGTGCCTCAGCCCCCTCTGCACCTCCACCTGTTGGGGATGGAGGGAGATGGGGGTGGGGGATGGGGGGATGGGAGGTGGGGAAGAGAAGCAGTTCTAGAGAGAGCCAGAAAGCAGCATAGGTCAGTCAGTCGGTAAGCACGCAGTTGGTCCTGCAAGGGGGTCTCAAAGTGGTGCGGTGGCAGACGGAGCCGCGGGCACAGAGTGCTCACCTTGTAGACTCAGTGTGCCCACCTCGTTTTCCGCTCACCTCTTTCTTGAACTCTTTGAGAGCCTGGTTGGTCTGGGCGTTCTTGAGCACCTTCACGGCCACAGGGAAGTGTTTCAGCATGCCCCTATAAACTGACCCGTACCCGTCCTCCCAACTCGCCTAGAGAACTCAACACTAGCAATGGATACACACACACTCTTTGCTGCTGGCCGCTCACCTCTTCCTTAAACTCTTTGAGAGCCTGGTTAGTCTGAGCGTTCTTGAGAACCTTCACAGCCACAGGGAAGTGTTCCAGCATGCCCTTATACACCGACCGACCCGCACCCGCCCTCCCCACTCACCTAGACAACTCAACACTGGCACAGATAGGTCCTCACGTTGCACTGCTGACCGCGCTCACCTCTTTCTTAAACTCTTTGAGAGCCTGGTTCGTCTGGGCGTTCTTGAGCACCTTCACAGCCACAGGGAAGTGTTCCAGCATGCCCTTATACACCGACCCGTACCCGCCCTCCCCCACCAGGTTCTCCTCACAAAATCCGTTACAAGCTGCCTCCAGTTCCTCTATAGTGTACTGCCGGAACTCCTGCTGCTTCTTCACTCGTTCTAACGCATATTCCTCCTGCGCTTTCACCAGAGTTGCCGCAGCTGATGCTGCTGCCTCTGCCGCAGCCTTTTTCGCCTCGGCCGCTTCTTCTTTCGCCGCCGCTGCCCGTTTCGCCTCCTCCTCCGCCTGACGCTTAGCTAATTCCTTTTCCAGTTCGGCTTCTAAGCGCCGCTGGGATTCGGCTCGGGCGTTCTCGAGGGCCATCCGAGCCTCCTCCCGAGCCTCCCGAGCCTGCTGGTCGGCTCGTTCGGCAGCGAGCTGGGCCGCCCGAGCCTGTTCTTGCAGCCGAGCCAGTTCGGCTAGGAGCTCTGTGAAATCAAATGGAGCTCCGCCGAAGCCGAACCCAGGAGGCATGCCGGGAAATCCCATGCCTGGCATACCATACCCACCACTAGCTGCTGCTGCTGCTGCTGCTGCAGAGGAAGCAGCAGCAGATGAGGAGGCAGCAGAAGTCGAGGAAGCAGAGGTAGAAGAGTCAAGCATAGGGAAACCCCCACCCATTCCACCCATTCCCCCCATTCCCCCCATTCCACCCATCCCACCCATCATACCCGTTTGACCCATGGGCATCCCCCGTCCTCCCATCATCCCACCACCCATGCCCATGCCCATGTATGGGTTCATGTAAGGCCAGCCAAATGGATTCATACCCATTCCCATCCCCATGCCCATGCCCATTTGTGCTTGCGAGTGCGCTGCCGCCGCTGCAGCTGCTGGGTCGCTGGGAGGAGGAGGCGGTGAAAGGGAAGCACCAGTTGCAGTCTCAGAACCGGTGCTACTGGTTGCTCTACCAGCGGCCGCTCCTGCTGTTATTCCCCCTACGTCTGCTGCTGTCCCTGCTGCCCCTGCTGCTCCCGCTACTCCTGCCGCCCCTGCTGTCCATGCTCCTCCTGCTACTCCAGCATCACTCCCTGCTCCTGCCACCACAGGTACTACTGGTGGTGGGTCCGTATGCGCTGCTGATTGCCTGCTGCTGCTGCTACTGCAGCTGCTGCTGCTGAAGTTGGCAGTGCACGCGGGACCAGGGACCGAGGAGCCAACCTTAGCAACAGCAGCAGCAGCAGAGGGGGACGGGGCTGCGACTGGCGCTGGGGCGGCTGCTGAAGGGGGAGCAGAGGGGGTATCACTGGTTGTAACCCCGAGGGTGGAAACAGCCATTGAAGCATCAGCTACATTGCCAGGCATTGTGCTCGCCCGTCTCACTTGCTGTGGCAGCGGTGCTTGCTGTGCTTGCTGTGTCTGCTCCATTTGCTCTGTCTGCTGCTGCGTCTTCTGCTCCGCTCGGCTCTGCAGCAGCTGCTGTTGCTGCTGCTGCTGCTGCAGGTGAAACGCGAGCTGGGCCTGCTGGTGCATACGAAACATCTCCATCTGATCCATGTGCTGCTGCCGCATCACCGCATGAACGTCCTGCTGCAGCCCCGCCTGCTGCCCGGCATGCTGTCCCGCATGCTGCCCCGCCTGCTGCTGCTCTCCCTGCTGCCGCTGCGGCTGCATCGCTGCCACTGCCGCCCCAATGTCAGCCTCGCCACCAGACGAAACCCTACCAGACCTCAGATTTAACTCAGCCATCTGCTGCCTCTGTTGTTGCTGCTGCTGCTGTTGTTGTGCGGCCACTACCGCCCTAGCGTCTGCTGCGTCAAGAGCAGGGGAAACCCTCCCAGGGATTGGCATAGGGGCGCCCATGCGGGTGGAGGCGTGGTGGCGGGAAGCAGTGAGCGCACCATACGCCCTGGGGTTGCCGCGGCTGCCGGCGCTGCCGCCGCTGCTGGTGCGCGTCACAGGGGCACAATCCGGGATGTGGAATGCCTTCGCTGCTGCTGCCGTCACTGCTGCTGCTGCCGCCGTTGCTGCTCCTCCTGTTGCTGCTCCTCCTGTTGCTGCTCCTCCCACTGTTCCTACACCTGCGAGGCTACCGGTGTGAGTGCTGGCATGCGGGATGGTGTGGCTGTTCGCGTGGTTGTTATTATTACTGCTGCTGCCACTGCTGCTGTCGTGAGCAGGCGCGCCCAAGGGGGAAAGCTGACGGAGAGGCCCGGGAGCAGAGTCTACCCGCGGTAAATGGCAGTCAGCAGTGCTGCCTGTGCTGCTGCCGCCCACACTGCCATCTCTTGCCATCCCTGCAGCCGCAACCGCAGCCACAGCAGCAGCAGCGGTGGAAGCACTAGGGGCAACAGCACCAGTGGTGATCCCAGTGCGTGTGTCAGTGGGGAATGCCCTTTCTGGAGACACCATTCCTGCCTGCCTCCCTCCTGCCTGCTGTTGCTGCTGCTGGTTGTGTTGCTGCTGCTGGTTGTGTTGCTGCTGCTGGTTGTGCTGCTGCTGCTGGTTGTGCTGCTGCTGCTGGTTGTGTTGCTGCTGCTGGTTGTGTTGCTGCTGCTGGTTGTGTTGCTGATGCTGCTGCAGCTGCGTGTGCTGCGCCCGTAGCATCTGCCGGTACACATTCCACTGCGGCCCCTCCCCATGGCCACCCAGTCCTCCCGAACCTGACCCCGAGTCTGTTCCCGAGCCGGGAAGCAGTCCCTGGTTCGGGAAACCGCCTGCCGCAGCAGCATTAGTACCCACAGTGGTGGAAGTTGTGGAGAATCCAGGAAGAGAGGAAGTGCCTGTGCTATGGCTATCAGTGGGGCTGGAGGAAAGATGGGTGAGAGCAGGGGCACCAAGAGAGGAAGCAGCTGGGAATCCGCCCATGCCACCCATGCCACCCATGCCACCACCAAATCCGCCCATGCTACCCATGCCGCCCATGCCAGCCATGCCGGCCATGCTGCCCATGCCGTTCATGCTGCCCATGCCGCCGCCCATGCCGCCGCCCATGCCATCCATGCCACTCAAACCACTCATGACACCCATGGCATTCATGCCACCAACGCCAGCCATCCCATCCATACCACCCATACCACCCATGCCACCCATGCCACCCATGCCACCCATGCCACCCATGCCAGCCATACCACCCATGGGACCCATTGGACCCATTGGACCCATGCCACCCATGCCACCCATCCCTCCTAACCCATTCACACCGCCTCCCATTCCCCAGGGAGAAACAACACCAGCAGGGGAGACAGCAGCAGCAGCAACACCAGAGTCACAGATACTGGTATAGGCAGAGCGGGAGGGCGGGGAGAGAGGAGGGCTCTGCGTGGGGGAGCTGAGAGCGCTAGACACCTGCGACGAGCCCCCTGCCCCGCCTGCCCCCCCTCCCCTACCAGCATCCGCAGCAGCAGCATGACCAGCGTCAGCGTAAACAGCAGCAGCAGTGCCATCCGACCCGTTACCACTGCCAGCCCGTGGCAAAAACTGAGCCTGCTGAAGCTGCTGCTGCTGCTGCTGCTGCTGAGCCTGCTGAAGCTGCTGCTGAGCCTGCTGCTGCTGCCCTGGGAGGGCTTGCAGGGGCAGCTGAGCCCGCTGCATGTGCTGGGGAGGATAGTGGGGAGCGTTGGCTTGGCTGTGTGGGGAGGGGTGTGACGGGTCCGCATGCTGCTGGGCTTGCAGCGGCGGCTGAGCCCAATGCGCCTGCTGCTGGGGAGGATACTGGGACGTGGGAGCTTTGCTGTGTGGGGAGGGGTGTACGAGCTCGGCGCGCTGCTGGGCTTGCTGCTGGGGAAGAGGAGGGTTGTTGTGGCGAGCGGAGCGGGCGGGCAGGTTGGGAGGGGGGCCAGCTGCGCCTGGCGCTTCTCTGATCTTGCGCCCCCCCTGCACGACAATGAGCGTGCAGGTGTCTGGTAGGTGGCCGCTGCAGTAGTCAGGCACGTGGGACGACTTGCCAAAGAGCTTCCTGGGAGAAGGGAGAAAGATTGAGGGAGAAGGTGTGTGTGCGAGAGGGCGAAAGAGAGGGAATGAATGGCACTTGCTCGGATTTGATCATGCATCAAACGTGGGACGCCTTGCCTAACAAATTCAAGGGCTTTATGAAGGGAGGAGAAAGGAAAAAAAGGAGTGATGGGATGGGGCAGGGAGACTGCAGATTTGGCTGGAAAATCATGGAGGGAGGGAGAGGATCAGCATGCATGCACGTGCCGTACTGGCACTGCAATGTGCCTTCACCCCAGAACCGATTGGAACCGCTTCAAACCACTTAAACCACTCAGAACTGTTTTGCACAGCTGTCATCCGATTAGTAGAGTATAATGAGCTGGGCACGCCCTTCTTGGCGCCAATGTAAAAGCGGGTCGCCTGGAAAGAGGTTGCCACGTGCACCAGCCTGCCCCTCAGGGTGTGCTCTGAGTCGACTCAAAACACACCTGAACCACTCATAACCGTTTTCACACAGCTGGGCACCGTACGCACTTCTTGGAGCCGATGTAGAGGCGGGTGGCCTGGAAGGAGGTTGCCACGTGCACCAGCCCATCCTCCCGCCTGTCGTTCTTCTCCACGTGCATGGCTGCTGGGATCTGCCATGGGTGATGCGTGGTGTAGGGAAGTCACGTCATGAAATGATAGTTACTATTTAACCAATTGGAATGTGATACAACAGGGATGCATGTATATAATGCTGTAGAAAGTGCCGCGACAACATGCCATGTCATATCATGTATCTCATTTCTCAGCGCGTTTCCTGACACATGACGGCATGTCATGTCACGTTCGAGAATTTTTTGGGAGTAGCTGTTTTCTCTGAGGCATCTGCGGAATTTGCCAGAGAGACTCGATTACGAAAAATTCGGACGCTGACATGCATGCCCTCGGAGAAGGTTTTGAAGGGCACAAGAACGTTCTGGAAGATGCTGGTTTCCATTTGCTACATCTGCGAAATCGTTAGGAGTAATTCGGGATTGAAAGAGCTGGGAAGCTCACATGCTTGCGTTCGGAGAAGGTCTTGAAGGGCACGAGGATGTTTTGGAAGATGTTGTTCTCCATCTGCTGCAACGACCGCGCGTCCGCCTGCGAAATCGGGAGCTCGCCACCCGCTGCGAGGAGTAGCGCGGAGAGGAAGGCGTGAGGAGCATTATAAAGGCGGGGGAAGGGAGGGGGAAACGTTGGAGACATCTAAAAAGCCGCGCGTCCGCCTGCGAAATCGGGAGCTCGCCACCCGCTGCGAGGAGTTGCGTGAGAGAGGGGTGAGGGAGGTTGTGGGAGGGGAAAGGGAAATTGGAAGCGAATGAGAAGAAAAGGTGGTGGATTGAGGAAAATTGTTGAATTTAATGGAACAGCGGAAGGTTATGGTGAGGCTGAACGCCTGTCTGATACTAACGCGTATGCTTTGGTAGCAGATGCCATGAGCAAATACGTCAGCAGTGGACATGTAAGCGAGAGCAACCTAAGCAAATGAGTGACTCAATCAAAACGGCGGTCACGACGGCAAGCTTCTGGCGACGCTTTTATAGAAACTGGTAATGAAAAGCGGAATTAAGACGGAGCGACGAAATTCAGGCCATCGTCGCTTAACTGGACGACGGGACGGCGGTTAAGACGGAGACGAGGCTGAAGGCGACGTGGAAGGCGCATTGATGCACGTCCTCGATGGCTGTGTGTAGCACGTCCTTGCTGACCTCCTTTTGACCTCCTTTCGACTCTAAAATTTTCAACTTACTGGACGATGGGACAGCAGTCAAGACAGATACGAGGTTGAAGGCGACGCGGAAGGCGCATTGATGCGCGTCCTCGATGGCTGTGAGTAGCACGTCCTTGCTGACCTCCTTGTCTCGTACCACCTCCACCACCCACACCGCCACGTGGCCGCGGCTCGTCCCCATCGCTAGACTGTGCATTTTCGCGTCACTGATTGCGTCACGCCGTCACGAAGCCTTAAACTTGTTAACTCACCGCGTCGCTGACTACGTTTCTGAGTCAGGAGAATAAATCAACAATCACTATTGACCCACCGGGTCTCAGAGGTGCTAACTCGCTGCTTGTTCTAGCATTGTTGAAACAGAATGCGATCGTCGTTCCTTGATTAGCAAAGCATGTCTGGACCCAACCCTCCAGTGTTCAGCACACACTGACTACCTCCAGTATGGTAAGATATCAATAGGGACGACTCGAAGGCGAGCTACACGCCCTTTGCAGCAGAAAAGACACAATCTACTTCCAAGGCAGGACAAGAGCAGGAGCAGACATCAAGTCACTTCTTCCATGGTCTTGATTTGCGAGCAGTACTGGTGTTATGGAGTCACGACAACTTCATGGCGTTCTGGTTCTGGGAATGTGGCCAAATCATGGGTCTAGGGGGAATCGAGCAGAGCAGCAGAAAGGTTGGCGGCAATCTCGAGGGGCAAGGGCTCTCAGGCATGCCCTGCCCGACCGAACCTGAAGATTGCGGAGGGGGGAAAGGATCATGTGGTTCGAGTGTGTTGATGTGCAAACTGGAGAATATCGTTCCGAACCTAGTCAAGGGGCACGGATCAGGTGGACATGAAGGCAATCGTGGTGGTTGGGGGTGTAGCGAAGCAAACACTGTTCCTCCCTTGCCCTCGGTATGTAATGTCTACATGACAGCCAATAACATTCTGGCGGAGGGATGGGGAAATGTACAAGATGAGCTGATGAACTGCAGGAACAATATCGGGGTTTCAACGCATATCATCATAAGATCTGTACACGTTTTTGTGTGCTTCACTAAGATTTGCTATGCTTCAGTGTGAGTGAACCACTTCCACTGGAACACACTACTTCAAAACCTCCCGTTTTGGTGGACAGCGCACGGGCAGGATGAGGCTGGTACCATGTTCTGCGAAACCCATGCTGAGGGGGTCCGAAGTGAAACATCGACATCCGCTGACATCCGTTTGGGGATGTCGATACATATCAACCCTCGGATCGGAGATTTCGACCGTCAGGATTCGCCGACATCCACCGACATCTGCCGACATCCATCGACGTTTCACTTCGGACATCCCCTGAGGAACAAGACTGCTCTGCACGAAGCTGACGACGGAAAATACGAAGCCGGACGAATCCCAGTATCTCCCGTACGTCTGGGGCATCTCTGTGGTTCCAAGCGAGTTCTGTATAGACAGCACATTGTAACGTTTTTTTCGTGAAGTCCGGTTTGGACCCTGGTCAGAAGCCTTCGCGAGGGGAACGAAAATGCTTCCGACAAAACGAACGGATGATTGGAATTTGGAACTTCCATCCCCTCCTTGCGCAAGTCAACAACAGCTCCAGTCAGGTCAGATCCCTCCTGTCCCGCCCATCGGCCCTGTTCGGCAGCACTTCGGGAGCACTAAAAACAGGTCATCTTGGCCGTTGGGAGCCTGAAAATTGTTCATGTTGGCCGTTGAGAGTGGTTCGGCACGACCAAAATCGCCTGCGACCCTCGTGCGACAAGACTTCATTCCGAGCTACCCACCCCACACAACTCCGAACCTCTCGCCCAACCCCAAGCCTGACGTGGGCCCAGAAGTCAGACAACGACCAATCACAAGAAGGGAAGGCCAGAAGATGGGTACTCATCTTTTCAACGTGAGTACCCATCTTCCGCCTAATTGAGACTTCCATTTCGGGCAGCGTGGGGGGTAAGTCCTGCGTCCCCCAAGTGCCCTCCTGCCCAGATTGGGGGTATTTTTAAACATGTGCATCGCCAGCAAAAGGCCCCGCGAACACACGAACAGCAGCCCAGTGCAACGTCCTCGACATACCTAGCAGGAGCAACTTTTTTTTTCAGATTTTCCGTCCGCGGGAGGCCTGACCGAGGGGTGACCCAGGGCCATAAACCTGAGTGAGTTGGATGTGTGGAGGGATTTTTGGGTCGTTCATGTTGGCCGTTGAGGTCTGGTGGCCTGGTCTAATTTCTCTGTCCTTTGCGCAGACACTGTAGATACACCTTAGATTTTGCTGACGTGTTGCCACGGTGTCAGGACGACAAGTTGCCTTTGGTTTCCGAACTTCCCAACGTTCGGAACCAGACCTCCCACACAACACCGAACCTAGATGGGAAAAAACGTGCAATTTTGCAGCCGAACAGGGCCATCGTCTCATCTCATTTCGTTTCTTGTGGTAACACCGAGTCAAACGCAACCGTCATTTCCACGGCAAGATCTGCTGGTTGTTGTGAGGCTGTGTGGTAGGCACAAAACAGCCAGGATTCCACGGTTGAGCAGCAAGCATGGTAGCTCGTGTAACTGGTGGGTCGCGGTCAAGCCTCCTGCCACCATACACCCAGGAGTAGAAATCCAAGTATTTACTTATTCGTTTCCAGTAGGAGTCGCGGTGTCGTGGCAGAAGTGCAAGTTGGCGATCCGACATAGCATGCGGCTTACTAGGTGGAGCAGCGCACTCGGCGGAAGCCTGTGGCCTGCTGAGCGTGGATGGGGTAGTAGAAGGCTTGGCTTGTAATCAACGGCGATAAGTAGATCGCTCTACTGCTTACTCGTAAGATTGCGGCCTGTGCATTGGCGTACTGTGCACGCGGGCCACAGCACTGGTTACAGGTCGAGTTACATCTCGGGTCTCCGGTTACAACTTGGGTTACAGCGCGGGTTACAATTTGGGTTACCAGCCATGGCGATACTCCCGTCCTGCCTTCTCTCCTCAGCCGCTCTTCCCACTCGCCTGCTGCCCAGCGTAATCGAAATCCAAGAATCATGTTTCGCGCTCGTCTATAACGCGTATGGCCTGCGCCTTGACCAATTCCACGTCGACAATCTCACGCTCGTCTCCTGCTGGGTCCCCGCGTCTCGCGGCGTGGAACCCGCCGCATCACCCGCCGTGCCTTCCGCCGCAATTCCCGCGAAACCCCCTCTGTTACTCCTCCACGGCTTCGGCGCGTCGTCGTTAAACCACTGGATAAATCAGCTCGCCGCGTTTTCCCGCCATTTCGACCTCTACATCCCCGACCTGCTGTTCTTCCGCGGCTCGTACTCCCGCGATTCGCGGCGCGACGAGCGGTTCCAGGCGGAAGCGATGATCGCGCTGATGGAACGGCTGGGCATCCAACGGTGCGCCGTCGTCGGCGTGAGCTACGGCGGGATCGTCGCCCACAAGTAAGTAAGCCAAAGTCCTCTCCTCCTCGTCAAATGCCGTAATCCATCCATAAGCTGTGCATTACGGCAGGATCGGCCAGACAACAAACGCCCCAGCCAGCAACCATCCCACCTCTCCTCCTCTCCCTCCTTCCCTCCCCTGCAGAATGGCTACCCTCTATCCCGCACGTGTCACCCAGCTAGTGCTGGGAGGGCCGGGGCTCATGCTGACGCAGGGGGAGGTGCAGGGGGTGCTGCAACAGTAGCACGCACGTACACACGCAGGCAGGAAGGCAGGCAGGCAGACAGACAGGCGCACACACTGGCCGCCTGATTGCTCACATCCCACTTTCTCACTCCTCTCCTCTCTCCCCTTCTCTGTCCCCTCTTCCCCGGGTTTCTCCCCTCCCGTTATCCCCCTCTGCAGGATGGCCACTCTCTATCCCACACGTGTCTCCCAGCTAGTGCTGGGAGGGCCGGGGCTCATGCTGACGCAGGGGGAGGTGCAGGGGGTGCTGCAGCACTGGCACGCCAAGACTCCACCGGACCTCTTCCTGCCCACCGAGCCTAGCGGCCTGCTTCGGCTGATCAGGCTCGGGAACAACGAGGCGCCGTACCTCCCGGATTGGCTGCTGCAGGACGCCTTGGAGGTGTGTGTGTGTGCCACTCCCGGTCATTCCTCTCCCTCCCGGATCCGGACTCCGCTGGAGTGAAGGGCTTTGAGATTCTGATGTCCGGCTGTCCGGCTGTCTGGCCGGCTGTCCAGCTGGCCGGCTGTCCATCTCTCTGGAGAATCTGTTGCATGTGCACGGGTTCAGATTCTTGAGGCGCCTCAAAAGTCATGTGCACGGGTTCAGATTCGATTCTCAACTGTGACTCCGGAATAGCTGATTCAAGCTCAAGCTTCCTCAACTTGTGAGAACCGCCAATGCTGTGCGAGCATGGTGCTGCTGTGTGGTGATGTGCGTTGCTGTGTGGTGCTGTGCGTTGTTGTGTGGTGCATGCATGGCAGGTGCTGTTTGAGAACAGGGAGGAGAAGGCAGGGCTGCTGGAGGCGTCGTTGAGAGAAGCACAGGCCAATGCACAGCACCCAGAGGGCATCGCTGTGCCTTCAATGGTAGGTGCTGAGTGGTGAAATGCGGTGAAGTGCACAGGGGTCGACAATTTCATTGTGCATGTGAGGAGTGGCATCGAGACTGGAGGTAATTCCTTGATGCCTTTCTCTCACCACACCTCAATTCTCTCGCATGCCAGCGATGTCGCTTACTCCTTGTTTTTTCCCTTTCACCCTGCATTTCTCCTCTCCCCACGTTTCTCGGTTTTTTTTTTTTTTTTTTCACTGTTTTGTGATGTAACTCTGTCTCCCATCCACTCTCTCTCATACCCCGCCCGATCCACGTAACAGCCCACCCTTCTTGTGTGGGGAGGTAGTGACCAGCTCTTTCCCCTTTCCATTGCCCATCGCATGCACCGGTGAGACTCCCTCTCTCGCTCCCTCCTTCTCGGTTCTGCTTTCTCCTTCCCTCCCCGCGCACTTGCACACTACACACACGCACACGCAGCAGTTCAACTCAAACACTTGGCCTGGTTTTGAGTCGACTCAAAAGCACACTTGGCCTGGTTAAGTTTCTGCCCCCACTCCACCATCCCCCCTCCCCACCTTCCACCCTTTTCCACCATGCCCCCTCCCCACCTTCCCCCTTCTCCACCTTTCCCCCTCTCCACCTCCACCCTTCTCCACATTTATCACCTGTTATTGTTCACATAAACCTCTCCCTTTCTCCATCTTCCCTTCTCCCGTCCCCTCT